CAGAAACATTTTCTAAATATCTATTATATATACTGCATGGTGCATGTTCAACAAATACCTGGTATTGGAAAATACATTTCAGAAAGGGATATCCGTTATATATGTGTAATTTAGGTCTGCGCTCAAATCAAATAATTGAAAAAAAGAGAGACGTAAAATTATATACTGTTACATAAGTTCATAACATAAAGCGTATATACAACATATATTTTGTTCAGTACAATGTAAGATAAAACAAAAATCGATCTTCTTTCAAACGATTGTGTATTTATTTTCTGTAGTTTTGAGTACATGTATCACGTGTCATGTGATCCAATTCATTATCCTGTACTAAACTGAAAATATAATATTAAAAGATACAACAACAAAAAAATTATAATTATCATGGAAACGTAATATCTATCAGTCAATTAATTAAAGTATCGTTATTCATGTCCGCCATAGTTATCGTGCTGATTTTGTTGTATTACCTAGATATTGACGATATTAAACCAAACATGTATATATATACAACATGTCTACATAGGTTATCAATACCTTAAAGCACAGACTATCAACGATCTTCCATCAATATAAAATACTTTACGTTAAGGATATTGCTCATTGTTGAAGACCGTACGGTGACAGGTAACTGCTCACATCCGTTTTCTTTTGTCTTAAAATTCCCAAACACTGACGAGATACCTGACGTATGATATGATCATGTGGCAGAGTTAAATAGTTTGTTTTTAACATCAATTATCCAATTTTTAATCTCTACCAGTTAAAAAACAATTGATCCATAAAATATCAACACAGAAATACCAGAAAAACCTTATAATAACGGTATTATATATTACAGAAACTTCATACATTTAAAACAATCATTAGCAATACCGTATCAACCAATGTTCATACACACTGAAGGCAAACTGAAAATGAAAACTTGCTGATAGATAAGCATATTGTCCTATATAATAATATCGTTTGCCTTACTTTAGAACTAGCTTCAATCATCAACGGCATAAACAGAACATTGATTTTATTAGAAGGTGGTAGATATTCCTATGGGTAATAATTACAACCCTTTAATAGGAGATCGTTTTGTTATGAATCTTAGTTTATGGTCAAACTCAATAATTATCGGTCTAGAATTATAGAAAAATTAATGACACTTACCCTTACATTGATGATATAAAAAACCATAGCATTTCATGAGTCTTATCTATGTGTTACTGGTTTATCATAAGGCAGGAATTTGGTTATAGCAAAATTCTTAAAACCTTTACAAAATTCTATTAGCAAAATGTTGTGTTAGACGTATAATACAGAACCTCTAAGCAGCAAAACAACAAAGAACATTTTAGTCTTGTTTCTTAGAATAAGGTTAATGTCTGTTAAAGCTTGCATATATATTCGCCTTGCTTGCTTGTTTTAAATTTTGTTGCCGATAGGGTGCTGTTTCATTAACGTGTATCCCAAAAATCCTTGTATTCGTATATTTAGCGTATTGATATTCATCACCAGAAAAATAAAACAGTTAATTATAACCTATTTTAATTCGTCTTTAATGCAAACAAGATAAATTTATAGGACAATACCTAAACCAGTTATATTCAGAAACAATATCACCAAAAAATGATGTATCATTCTTTATGTAGCAAAATTCCATTAGCACTTGCATATGGAGTAAGTTTGTCCATGTTTTGTGTTTCGTATCATGAGTTCCTCGAGGGATGCTGCTGACATGATAGCTACTGAATAAATTTCATCTGTTCTCAAGTTGTTTTGGTTTTTTACGGACACAATCAGGATTTGGGTGACCGCTATAGAATATCATAAAGATGACTACAGATGTGATCCCCTTTTCTTATCAAACCCTTTTTGAAAATCAAACCTTCCTATGTGTAATTTAGTTTGAGAAACACGACAGGTACAACAGGCTATGCAAGAACTGCAAACACGTGCTTTATCTCTAAATTTTGTAGAGTTTTGTGCTTCTCAAGCTTTGATTTCTGTGTAATGTTTTATGGACTGTATGCTGTTCGGTGTGAGCCAAGGCTCCGTGTTGAAGACCGTACTTTGACCTATAATGGTTTACTTTTATAAATTTTGACTTGGATGGAGAGTTGTCTCATTGGCACTCATACCACACCTTATTATATCTATGTATGTTTCTTTTTGCTATGGTGTTTTCTGTCTTTATAATGGTCGTATTTCATTGCCCTTTGCTCCATCGGTACCCGATCTTGGTTTTGTTTACCATGGTCAAGATGCAAAAAAGGTTAACGATAATTATTCATGTTGAAAGTAATAATTAGCTTAGATGAATTTAATTCGGAAAATTGTATCATATAGCTGTAAAATTGTTGAAAACATCTATCAAATAGAGTTTTATCGAATTCTTATGAAGTTTAGTCTCAAAGTTGAAGGCGCAAAGTTTGTTTCCGCTCGAGCGTCATTGCGCAACATGTATACGAACCAGTCAAGGTCGAACAATAATAACATAGAGTAGTGGACAGATCATTTTAAGCTTACTTTCATGAAACAATAGAATCAACAATATATTCCCAAAACACGGCATATATAATACATATTGTTTAACAAGTTTGTTGTAATGAAATATTAGTAGATGAAATCATTTGGAATATATGTACTAAAAATTTATAAACTTACTAAACAGCTATACAATCAATATAAATAAGAAGATGTGGTATGAGTGCCAATGAGATAACTATCCATCCAAGTCACAATGTGTAAAAAGTAAACAATTATAGGTCAAAGTACGGCCTTCAACACGGAGCCTTGGCTCACACCGAACAGCAAGCTATCAAGGGCCCCAAAAAGACTAGTGTAAAACAATTCAAACAGGAAAACCAAGTCAAACCTGTTATAAATGTCTATTAGGCTAAATCTTTCCTGTCAGGTCACCCTCTTCTTGTCAACTGTTGTAAAACCTATTCGTTTTGAACCTCAATTCAAGTGTCACCTCTCTTATAAGGATCCTAAGGGTGTCTTGACCTTTATATACAGGTTTGACTGCATTTATAACGATTAGAAGGGCTATTGGTCAAATGAATAATTTATTTCTTAGAAATATAGAATGTCATTTACTACAAATAACTGAAAAGGTCAAGGCAATCGTGTTTAACATTATCCATATTGAAATAGTTTAGAGAGTTTTTTATTTTGACGGAAAATATGTTACGTTTATGAATATTTATGACAATAAAGCAAAATGTTAACACCATAGTGTATCTACCAATGACTTACTCTTTTTAACGACTGTGTCCTCCTCAAGTTCACACATGTCGTGTCATAAAAAAGAATTGCTTCAGTCAAGGACTCAACATTAATGCTTCTGGGGTCTTCTTTGGCAGCTTCAAATAAACATTCTGTCAAGCATCCGACTGTTGCTTTTTGTCCCATTTTATTTTTCCATTTAATTAACATCTGGTATGCTGCCTCAGCTGCAAGTTGGTGCCTCAAATCAACCTCTATTTCACAAATGTCATGTTCCCGTAGTCCAAGATGCCGACCTACCATTTTTATGTGTGAAGCAGAAATGCATCTCTTAATTTTTAATATTTTCTGTTCATCAACAATTGAGATGAGTGTTCCTATTTGAACTTTGCCGATCCATTCATCTTTAAATAGAAAAATATATCCTTGCTGGTGTCAAATGCAGTGATTTAATAGCAATAAAATGTAATAAAATGCTCCACAGGGCGCAGCTTGATACGACCGCAGAGGTCGAACCCTGAACAGTTGGGGCAAGTATGGACACAACATTCAAGTTTGATACAGATCTGAATTCGGATTGTGATTAAATGTTGACACAGCATAGGTTTCTGAAACAAAATGAATGTGGTCTAAAAAAATTTGAAATCGGATATTTACCCATCTTATGGTCCTTTATCCAAAATCTAAATTCATGGTTAGATTCGGCATATTAAAGAACCCAAAGAATTTTATTTTTGTTAAAATCAAACGAAGAGTTACATTTTGGACCCTTTGGTCCTCATTGTGGACCAATTTGATAACGGGGCCAAAATTTCAAAATCTAAATACACAGTTAGATTTATCATATCAAAGAACCCCAACTTGAAAACTGGGCCCAAAATCCAAAATCTAAAAACATGGTTAGATTCGTCATATCATAGAACCCCAAGAATTTATGTTTTGTTAAGATCAAACTCAGCTTAATTTTGAACCCTTTGGACCTTTATGAGGACCCATTTGAAAACGGGGCCCAAAATTGAAAATTTGGCATATCAAAGAACCCCAAAAATTCATTTTTAGATGAATTAACAAAGTTTAATTTTGGACCCTATGGACCTCAATGTGGACCAATTTAAAAACGGGGCCAAAAATTCAAAATCTAAATACACGGTTAGATTCAGCATATTAAACAACCCAAAAATTCAAGACTTTGAAATAAACCCCATTGAAATTGGTCAAGAAATAAACAATCATACATAATATTAGAAAAGTACTGTTTTTGTTCCCTTTTTGGCCTCTCATTCCTAAACGGTTAGAATCATAACACCCCAAATCATTGCCATTTGGCTGTGAGAAGACCAAATAATTTACAGTTGGCCCAATCGAAACATAACGGAATTTCACGACCGAATATCATTTTTATAAAAAAAAACGAGTTGGATACCTGGTGTTATATTGAAGTATTTGGGGTTTTTTTCAGAGACAAGAGCCTGTGCACAGAAGCAGGGGTAGAATCCCGCTGAGGGAAGAACAAAAATTTGCTGGCGCAAATTTGCAGATTTAACTTTGTTGGGCTAAATTTGAGACGAAGTGAATATATACAAGCGTCTGCGCAATTTTGTATATACATGTATATAAAGAATTACAAATGTGTCGAGTCTTGTGATTAGATAATCTTCACTGAGATGTCAGTATAAATTCTGGAAACTGCCTAGTAGGTATATATAACAGTTTTTCTCCAATTGGAACCTCAATAACGTCATCATAGCGAACGTTAAGGAGAGGACTATGAATACGAATATGAATACGAACTTTATTAAATACAATTAAAGGGCCCGTTTCCGAGCATATACATATATATAAATATAATTGACTATACAGTAATTGTAAGATATATTACATTGAAAATGTGACAATGTCAAAAGTCATAATCTACACAAAAGTAAAAGAAAGTCAGAGACTCATAAAGACAAAAATGGTGTGTATCCTTCAAATACAAGCTTTTTTTTTTTATTTAAATGCAGGCTATATATATATTTTCTAACCAAATACTAAATCAATGCCTGAAAGCACATTTTAAAGTATTACATACACGAGAAAATTATTTTCACTGCAAATTACAAAATCTTTCACGTAAGCGGCAAAATAACAGGTTGGGTTTATAAATATTTCTGTTGGTCAAAAAGCATTAAAAGTGACCCACATACAAAAAGTGCATATGAAAGCTAAATACTTTATTATTGCACGAAAAATAACACTTCTTTGTCAAGACGAAAAAAATGCATTTAACTGCAGGACACAAAAATACAGAAACATTTTCTGAATATCTATTATATATACCGCATGGTGCATGTTCAACAAATACCTGGTATTGGAAAATACATTTCAGAAAGGGATATCCGTTATATATGTGTAATTTAGGTCTGCACTCAAATCAAATAATTGAAAAAAACGAGAGACGTAAAATTATATACTGTTACATAAGTTCATAACATAAAGCGTATATACAACATATATTTTGTTCAGTACAATGTAAGATAAAACAAAAATCGATCTTCTTTCAAACGATTGTGTATTTATTTTCTGTCGTTTTGAGTATCACGTGTCATGTGATCCAATTCATTATCCTGTACTAAACTGAAAATATAATATTAAAAGATACAACAACAACAAATGTATACTTATCATGGAAACGTAATATCTATCAGTCAATTAATTAAAGTATCGTTATTCATGTCCGCCGTAGTTATCGTGCTGATTTTGTTGTATTACCTAGATATTGACGATATTAAACCAAACATGTATATGTTGTGTACAAATTGTAATGTTGTACAAATTATAATTTGTACAGAATTTTTGTACAAGTTATCAGTGTTTTATGAATTGCTTAACACAAATGGATGATACAAGTACACAGTCTTTTGTTTCGCATATTTCTGTCATATTTCCATGACTACATGATACAGTCTTATACTGAGCATTGATACAAAAAACTTTATAAGAACACAAAAAGACTTTTTATGGATATAATTTTGGTATAAGGAGAAAAACAAAAATAAAATTTAAACCATTCAGGTGTCCTTGTTTCCAGTTTGAGGACAAGGAAAATAGCACTAAATGTTAGGTTGAAGTATATTAATTTGAATTTAAGACATTAAACTGATAAATTTTAGAAGATAAACTTTTATCACCTGGTGCAAAAAAGTATGTGCCAAAAAACTTATAACTTGTACAAAACCCCTGTACAAATTATAATTTGTACAAACTTATATCTTGTACACAACATATATATATACAACATGTCTACATAGGTTATCAATACCTTAAAGCACAGACTATCAACGATCTTCCATCAATATAAAATACTTTACGTTAAGGATATTGCTCATTGTTGAAGACCGTACGGTGACAGGTAACTGCTCACATCCGTTTTCTTTTGTCTTAAAATTCCCAAACACTGACGAGATACCTGACGTATGATATGATCATGTGGCAGAGTTAAATAGTTTGTTTTTAACATCAATTATCCAATTTTTAATCTCTACCAGTTAAAAAACAATTGATCCATAAAATATCAACACAGAAATACCAGAAAAACCTTATAATGACGGTATTATATATTACAGAAACTTCATACATTTAAAACAATCATTAGCAATACCGTATCAACCAATGTTCATACACACTGAAGGCAAACTGAAAATGAAAACTTGCTGATAGATAAGCATATTGTCTTTTATAATGATATCGTTTGCTTTACTTTAGAACTAGCTTCAATCATCAACGGCATAAACAGAACATTGATTTTATTAGAAGGTGGTAGATATTCCTATGGGTAATAATTACAACCCTTTAATAGGAGATCGTTTTGTTATGAATCTTAGTTTATGGTCAAACTCAATAATTATCGGTCTAGAATTATAGAAAAATTAATGACACTTACCCTTACATTGATGATATAAAAAACCATAGCATTTCATGAGTGTTATCTATGTGTTACTGGTTTATCATAAGGCAGGAATTTGGTTATAGCAAAATTCTTAAAACCTTTACAAAATTCTATTAGCAAAATGTTGTGTTAGACGTATAATACAGAACCTCTAAGCAGCAAAACAACAAAGAACATTTAAGTCTTGTTTCTTAGAATAAGGTTAATGTATTTAAGCTTGCATATATATTCGCCTTGCTTGCTTGTTTTAAATTTTGTTGCCGATAGGGTGCTGTTTCATTAACGTGTATCCCAAAAATCCTTTTATTCGTATATTTATCGTATTGATATTCATCACCAAAAAAATAAAACAGTTAATTATAACCTATTTTAATTCGTCTTTAATGCAAACAAGATAAATTTATAGGACAATACCTAAACCAGTTATATTCAGAAACAATATCACCAAAAAATGATGTATCATTCTTTATGTAGCAAAATTCCATTAGCACTTGCATATGGAGTAAGTTTGTCCATGTTTTGTGTTTCGTATCATGAGTTCCTCGAGGGATGCTGCTGACATGATAGCTACTGAATAAATTTCAACTGTTCTCAAGTTGTTTTGGTTTTTTACGGACACAATCAGGATTTGGGTGACCGCTATAGAATATCATAAAGATGACTACAGATGTGATCCCCTTTTCTTATCAAACCCTTTTTGAAAATCAAACCTTCCTATGTGTAATTTAGTTTGAGAAACACGACAGGTACAACAGGCTATGCAAGAACTGCAAACACGTGCTTCATCTCTAAATTTTGTAGAGTTTTGTGCTTCTCAAGCTTTGATTTCTGTGTAGTGTTTTATGGACTGTATGCTGTTCGGTGTGAGCCAAGGCTCCGTGTTGAAGACCGTACTTTGACCTATAATGGTTTACTTTTATAAATTTTGACTTGGATGGAGAGTTGTCTCATTGGCACTCATACCACACCTTATTATATCTATGTATGTTTCTTTTTGCTATGGTGTTTTCTGTCTTTATAATGGTCGTATTTCATTGCCCTTTGCTCCATCGGTACCCGATCTTGGTTTTGTTTACCATGGTCAAGATGCAAAAAAGGTTAACGATAATTATTCATGTTGAAAGTAATAATTAGCTTAGATGGATTTAATTCGGAAAATTGTATCATATAGCTGTAGAATTGTTGAAAACATCTATCAAATAGAGTTTTATCGAATTCTTATGAAGTTTAGTCTCAAAGTTGAAGGCACAAAGTTTGTTTCCGCTCGAGCGTCATTGCTCAACATGTATACGAACCAGTCAAGGTCGAACAATAACATAGAGTAGTGGACAGATCATTTTAAGCTTACTTTCATGAAACAATAGAATCAACAATATATTCCCAAAACACGGCATATATAATACATATTGTTTAATATCAAAAACGTTACAATTTTGTTGTAATGAAATATTAGTAGATGAAATCATTTGGAATATATGTACTAAAAATTTATAAACTTACTAAACAGCTATACAATCAATATAAATAAGAAGATGTGGTATGAGTGCCAATGAGATAACTATCCATCCAAGTCACAATGTGTAAAAAGTAAACAATTATAGGTCAAAGTACGGCCTTCAACACGGAGCCTTGGCTCACACCGAACAGCAAGCTATCAAGGGCCCCAAAAAGACTAGTGTAAAACAATTCAAACAGGAAAACCAAGTCAAACCTGTTATAAATGTCTATTAGGCTAAATCTTTCCTGTCAGGTCACCCTCTTCTTGTCAACTGTTGTAAAACCTATTCGTTTTGAACCTCAATTCAAGTGTCACCTCTCTTATAAGGATCCTAAGGGTGTCTTGACCTTTATATACAGGTTTGACTGCATTTATAACGATTAGAAGGGCTATTGGTCAAATGAATAATTTATTTCTTAGAACTATAGAATGTCATTTACTACAAATAACTGAAAAGGTCAAGGCAATCGTGTTTAACATTATCCATATTGAAATAGTTTAGAGAGTTTTTTATTTTGACGGAAAATATGTTACGTTTATGAATATTTATGACAATAAAGCAAAATGTTAACACCATAGTGTATCTACCAATGACTTACTCTTTTTAACGACTGTGTCCTCCTCAAGTTCACACATGTCGTGTCATAAAAAAGAATTGCTTCAGTCAAGGACTCAACATTAATGCTTCTGGGGTCTTCTTTGGCAGCTTCAAATAAACATTCTGTCAAGCATCCGACTGTTGCTTTTTGTCCCATTTTATTTTTCCATTTAATTAACATCTGGTATGCTGCCTCAGCTGCAAGTTGGTGCCTCAAATCAACCTCTATTTCACAAATGTCATGTTCCCGTAGTCCAAGATGCCGACCTACCATTTTTATGTGTGAAGCAGAAATGCATCTCTTAATTTTTAATATTTTCTGTTCATCAACAATTGAGATGAGTGTTCCTATTTGAACTTTGCCGATCCATTCATCTTTAAATAGAAAAATATATCCTTGCTGGTGTCAAATGCAGTGATTTAATAGCAATAACATGTAATAAAATGCTCCACAGGGCGCAGCTTGATACGACCGCAGAGGTCGAACCCTGAACAGTTGGGGCAAGTATGGACACAACATTCAAGCTTGATACAGATCTGAATTCGGATTGTGATTAAATGTTGACACAGCATAGGTTTCTGAAACAAAATGAATGTGGTCTAAAAAAATTTGAAATCGGATATTTACCCATCTGATGGTCCTTTATCCAAAATCTAAATTCATGGTTAGATTCGGCATATTAAAGAACCCAAAGAATTTTATTTTTGTTAAAATCAAACGAAGAGTTACATTTTGGACCCTTTGGTCCTCATTGTGGACTAATTTGATAACGGGGCCAAAATTTCAAAATCTAAATACACAGTTAGATTTATCATATCAAAGAACCCCAAGAATTAAATGTTTTGTTGAAACCAAACAAAGTTTTATTTTGGACTCCGATTTGGACCAACTTGAAAACTGGGCCCAAATTCCAAAATCTAAAAACATGGTTAGATTCGTCATATCATAGAACCCCAAGAATTTATGTTTTGTTAAAATCAAACTTAGCTTAATTTTGAACCCTTTGGACCTTAATGAGGACCCATTTGAAAACGGGGCCCAAAATTGAAAATTTGGCATATCAAAGAACCCAAAAATTCATTTTTAGATGAATTAACAAAGTTTAATTTTGGACCCTTTGGACCTCAATGTGGACCAATTTAAAAACGGGGCCAAAAATTCAAAATCTAAATACACGGTTAGATTCCGCATATTAAACAACCCAAAAATTCAAGACTTTGAATTAAACCCCATTGAAATTGGTCAAGAAATAAACAATTCATACATAATATTAGAAAAGTACTGTTTTTGTTCCCTTTTTGGCCTCTCATTCCTAAACGGTTAGAATCATAACACCCCAAATCAATCCCAACCTTCCTTTTTTTGGTTTTGAACCTTGTGGTACAATTTCATAGATATCCATACACTTATACAGAAGTTATTGTCCCGAAACAAGAAAATCCTTGTTTGTTTGTCCCTTTTTGGTCCCTAATTCCTAAACTGTTTAGGCCATAACCCCAAAAAACAATCTCAATTTTCCGTTTGAAGTATGGAACCTTGTGGTACAATTTCATAAAGATCAATACACTTATACACAAGTTATTGTCCTTAAACAAGAAAAATGCTTTGTTTCTGGTCCCTTTTGGCCCCTAATTCCTAAATAGTTAGGACAATAACCCGCAAATTCAATCCCAACATTTTTTTTGTGGTATTGAACCTTGTGGTACAATTTCATATAGATCCATACACTTATACTCAAGTTTTTGTCTGGAAACCAAATGTCTTTGGACGACGACGATAGACGACGACATCGCCATACCATTATACGGTCGCATTGTTGCTGTTACTAAAAGGTTTAGGTGAAATAACTCCTTTGAGTAGTCGAATGCCAATACACGTATTATTAATTTAAAATTTTGTAGATCGCTATTTGGTTGTTTTTATAGTTTTCATGATAATTGCCAAAACAAACAAATCAGTGAAATCGTATTTTAAGAACAATAAATAGTAGTAGTCCGATAACTTTAAAACGGTGACCATATTGGTTGATTGACAGTAACAAAAACAAACATTTTGTTCTAGATATCCTAAGAGCAATTCAGTGAAAGTGTGGTCCGGTTTCAGAGAAGATTTTTCAAAAGGTTTACGATGACGACGGACGGACGACAACGAGGACGACGACGACGAAGAATGTCGAGAGATGGCAATAGCTCGCATATCCGATAGGGCCAAGTGACCTTACAAAATCAAAAGTTAATTAAAGGTAAGAATACAGTCTTCGACAATAGCCAACTGAATTTTACAGATTGTTCGTGTATTGTGCCTTTAAACCATTGCCTCACGTTGGGGGAGGACAGAGCGTTTATAAGTATGTTTAACCCCTTCTCATTCTTGTTCTGTTCGTATATTGTGCTGTTAAACCATTGCCTCAGGTTGGGGTAGGACTGAGCGTTTGTAAGTATGTTTAACCCCTCCACATTCTTGTTCTGTTCGTAAATTGTGCTGTTAAACCATTGCCTCAGGTTAGGGAAGGACTGAACGTTTATAAGTATGTTTAACCCCTCCACATTCTTGTTCTGTTCGTATATTGTGCTGTTAAACCATTGCCTCAGGTTGGGGTAGGACTGAGCGTTTGTAAGTATGTTTAACCCCTCCACATCCTTGTTCTGTTCGGAAATTGTGCTGTTAAACCATTGCCTCAGGTTAGGGAAGGACTGAACGTTCATAAGTATGTTTAACCCCTCCACATTCTTGTTCTGTTCGTATATTGTGCTGTTAAACCATTGCCTCAGGTTAGGGAAGGACTGAACGTTTATAAGTATGTTTAACCCCTCCACATTCTTGTTCTGTTCGTATATTGTGCTGTCAAACCATTGCCTCAGGTTAGGGAAGGTTTGAACGTTTATAAGTATGTTTAACCCCTCCACATTCTTGTTCTGTTCGTATATTGTGCTGTTAAACCATTGCCTCAGGTTGGGGGAGGACTGAGCGTTTGTAAGTATGACTGTTTAACCCCTCCACATTCTTGTTCTGTTCGTATATTGTGCTGTTAAACCATTGCCCCAGGTAAGGGGAGGACTCAGTGTTTATAAGTATGTTTAACCCCTCCACATTCTTGTTCTTTATTAGCCTGTGATTCGAAATGTTTTGCCATATCTGTTTTATCGTGTGACTTTTAATTTTGAATTGTTTCACATTTTTTATGCAGGGAACTTTTCATGGTTTACTATATGAAATGTGGTTTTTGTTTTTCGATGAAGGCCGTATGGTGGCTTACGTTAATAGAATAACAAATGGTCAGCCGCTTATTACTTTATCTTACCTATTGTCGTTGGTGAAGCTAAAGTTAAGGAAGACCTGAAATCAACAGTTGAATACAAACTTAATTATAGACATTAACTCAAGGGTCATATTCTAAGGTATTATTGAGTAATATATATCAGCTATAATACTATAATAGTGTTTTGCACTAACAGCGAGTAATATAATCCCGATGGCTTTAGCTTAAAAGTGCAATATGAATTACTGCGAGGAACAATATGTCGCAATATTAGTGCAACAAGATTGCTATGCCGTAGCGAAATGTCCATCGTCGTTGTATACATTTAATTGTGTGTCACAATGCGTCATTGTGGTATGGTAGTGGTATAGAAAATATGGTAACTCCCGTAAAAATGGTCAAATCAAAATGACGATATGATATTATCAACAACAACACATGATGACAAAACAAACAAGTAAGGAATCTTTCTGTTATCTGATGTCAGAGGAGTGCCATTGTGGTACAAAAGATAAAAGTCATAGTCTCATACTACAATGTACCCGTAAAAGTGGTCAAATCCAAATGACAGCACATTATGGTCAACAAAACTTGATGGCAAACAAGCATGAGAGCTTTCTGTCCAATGGTCTCAGAGAATTTGCATTTACAAAGTGTCATTGTAATACAATAGTGGAAAAATAGTCCAAGTCCAATTACTCCCTTAAAAATCTTCAAACCAAAATGACTGTATAATTCAGTCAACAACACATGCTATCAAACAAAACTAGAGGTTCTAAAGAGCCTGTGTCGCTCACCTTGGTCTATGTGCATATTAAACAAAAGACACAGATGGATTCATGACAAAATTGTGTTTTGGTGATGGTGATGTGTTTTGGTGATGGTGATGTGTTTGTAGATCTTACTTTACTGAACATTCTTGCTCCTTACTATTATCTCTATCTATAATGAACTTGGCCCGGTAGATACAGTGGAAAATACTTTGTAAAAATTTACAAAAATTTACAAAATTTATGAAAATTGTAAAAAATTGACTATAAAGGGCAATAACTCCTTAAGGGGTCAATTGACAATTTTGGTCATGTTGCCTTATTTGTAGATCTAACTTTGCTGTACATTATTGCTGTTTACAGTTTATCTCTATCTATAATAATATTCAAGATAATAACCAAAAGCTGCAAAATTTTCTTAAAATTACCAATTCAGGGGCAGCTACCCAACAATGTGTTGCCTGATTGGTCTGAAAATTTCAGGGCAGATAGATCTTGACCTAATGAACAATTTTACCCCCATGTCAGATTTGCTCTAAATGCTTGGTTTCAGAGATATGAGCCAAAAACTGCATTTTACCCTATGTACTATTTTTTAGCCATGTCGGCCATCTTGGTTCGCGGGCGGGGTCATCGGACACATTTTTAAACTAGATACCCTAATGATGATTGTGGACAAGTTTGGTTAAATTTGTCTTAGTAGTTTCAGAGGAGAAGATTTTTGTAAAAAATTACAAAAATTTACGAAAAATGGTTAAAAATTGACTATAAAGGGCAATAACTCCTTAAGGGGTCAACTGACAATTTTGGTCAAGTTGACTTATTTGTAGATCTTACTTTGCTGAACATTATTGCTGTTTACAGTTTATCTCTATCTATAATTATATTCAAGATAATAACCAAAAACGGCAAAATTTCCTTAAAATTACCAATTCAGGGGCAGCAACCCAACAACGGGTTGCCTGATTGGTAAGAAAATTTCAGGGCAGATAGATCTTGACCTAATGAACAATTTTATACTCATCAGATTTGCTCTAAATGCTTTGGTTTCAGAGATATGAGCCAAAAACTGCATTTTACCCTATGTACTATTTTTTAGCCATGTCGGCCATCTTGGTTCACGGGCGGGGTCATCGGACACATTTTTTCAAACAGATATCCTAATGATGATTGTGGACAAGTTTGGTTAAATTTGTCTTAGTAGTTTCAGAGGAGAAGATTTTTGTAAAAGATTACAAAAATTTACGAAAAATGGTTAAAAATTGACTATAAAGGGCAATAACTCCTTAAGGGGTCAACTGACCATTTTGGTCAAGTTGACTTATTTGTAGATCTTACTTTGCTGAACATTATTGCTGTTTACAGTTTATCTCTATCTATAATAATATTCAAGATGATAACCAAAAACGGCAAAATTTCCTTAAAATTACCAATTCAGGGGCAGCAACCCAACAACAGGTTGTCCGATTCATCTGAAAATTTCAAGGCAGATAGATCTTGACCTAATGAACAATTTTACCCTGTCAGATTTGCTCTAAATGCTTTGGTTTCAGAGATATAAGCCAAAATCTACATTTTACCCCTATGTTCTATTTTTAGCCATGGCGGCCATCTTGGTTGGTTGGCCGGGTCACCGGACACATTTTTTAAACTAGATACCCCAATGATGATTGTGGCTAAGTTTGGTCAAATTTGGCCCAGTAGTTTCAGAGGAGAAGATTTTTGTAAAAGTTTACGGACGACGGACGACGGACGACGGACGCAGGACGACGGACGACGGACGCAAAGTGATGAGAAAAGCTCACTTGACCTTTCAGGTCAGGTGAGCTAAAAATCATACCAAGAATTAGAACTTTCTGTCAAACGGTCTAAGAGGACTGGCGTTCGCAAGGCGTTATTGTTACAATACTCCTACAAATGGCCAAAGTTCCATAACTCTTGTAATAATGGTTAAATAAAAATGGCGGTACAATATTGTCAACAACGCATAATGGCAAACATTCCTACCAAGTATGAAAGCATTCTGTTACAATCTGCTGATTCCTTGAAAAGCTTACTGATGTAAGACTTTTCCACATAACATGCATATAACTTCTTTATTGTCATATTCTTGTTTGCAAATTGATTAAAGAAAAATGAAAATTCTAGGTTAGCCCATGATTTATTTAATTGATGTTTTTGGCAGGTCAAATTGTCAAACCTTCCAGCAAGCTCGGAAGGAACACACACCGATAAAATAAACATTTATCAGCCATCTAGCAGACGCATAAAAAACGGGAAAAAGAAATTTACATACAATTAAACACCAATCGTTCCGAGAACAATTGAAGGTTTTTCACTTCAATATTTCTAAATAATTAATAAGAAGCAACTTCCGGTTTACTCGAAGTTACTATTGGCGTCCGATCATAGATTTTTTCATACTGATTCAATCAATAGATGGTTTCTATATACTTTTGTCTGAAATAAGGGAGATAATTTGCTACATCCGCTTCAGAAAATGTCACTTCCGGTCATAATATAGCTGTATTTACACTGATTCCAAAACTATTGGTTTTCTATATACTTTTGTCTGTAATAAGGGAGATAATAAGCTACTTCCGGTTTATTGATGGTCACCCTCGGTCGCGATTGATAGGTTAACATATGCCTGTATAAAAAATATTTGGTTTCTAGGTACTTTTCAATGAATTAAGTGCAAAAATTTACTCCGGGTCACTTCCGGTTGTCTTTTTCAAGGTCATATGTCACTTCACATTTTGCAAAAAAACCTATGGCTTTATCATGTACCAAGTTGAAGTAATAATCAATTAACCTTAGATATAACCATATATTACTTAGTATGTCAAAACATGGTTTCTATAAACTTTGGATTGAAATAAGGAAGATAATTTGCTACATCCGGTTTAGAAAAATGTCACTTCCGGTCTCATATGATAGCTGTATTCACACTGATTCCAAAAAATATATGGTTTCTAGATATTTATGTCAGTAATAAGGGAGATAATTAGCCACTTCCGGTCTATTGAAGGTCACTTCCGTTCTCAAATGATAGATTTATATATGCCTATTTAGAAAATATATGGTTTCTAGGTACCTTTCAATGAATTAAATGCAAAATTTGCTACTTCCGATTTACTCCGAATCACTTCCGGTTGACATTTGTCAAGGTAAAAGGTCACACAACATGATGCAAAAGACCCTATGGCTTTACTAAGTACCAAGTTGAAGAAATAATCAATTAACCTCAAATTAAAACATTTTAGGGGCAATAACTCATATAAAAGAGGGGCGAAAGATACCAGAGGGACATTCAAACTCATAAATCGAAAATAAACTGACAACGCCATGGCTAAAAAAGAGAAGACAAACAGACACAAAATAGTACACAAAACACAACTTAGAAAACTAAAGACTCAGCAACACGAACCCCACCAAAATTGGGGGTGATCTCAGGTGCTCCGGAAGGGTAAGCAGATCCTGCTCCACAAGTGGCACCCGTCATGTTGCTCATGTTAGTACAAACCCGGTAAATTGTCTAATTCGGTAGGTCACATTCGTGAAAAGGGAACGGGATTGTAGTTACGACATTAGGAACATATCCGCTATCATCTGTGAAACGGATATTCCATAACGGTCAACCAACTCGTGATGGCGTCCGTAAAATTTATGAAGGGATGATTTCAACTTCACCATTTGGAACTTTTGGTTTAATAGCTTCCTTGTGAGCAGCAACCCTCTATCAAGGAAATCATGATAGGAAATACAAGCCCGGGAATATCGGAAAGATGGAATTCTTCAGAGAACAATTGAAGGTCTTTCCATAAGATGTCATTGGATTGTTTCATACTTAATGTATCATATCTTCATCACAATAAAGCAAACATTTTGCACTAGTTCTTTTATATATATCTTCAAAAGTGTCAGAGAAAATCATAAAAATCAAAAATCAAAATTGAGAACGTCATTGACCTTGACCTCAAATTCATTTTTGTGAACCAAGGACCTCAAATCAAAATACCTTAGGTCTCTATCGGTCAAAATTGGACAAAACATCCTGAGGATGTAACTAGCAATTTGGTAAAATAAATTTGTCAATGTCTTTTACGGTTACGGAGGAATTGCAACCAAAAGTAAAACAGTGTTAGGGGAGATAACTCTTACAAAGAAAAGTATTTGGTTAATCAGAGTCATTTTCAAATCAGCATAAACTGTGCGATATCATATACAAAATATCTAAACGACATCTTGCGAAATAAAAATTACACCCAAGAAATAAGAGTGGCGATTGAAGGTCATTCCACATC